CCCCCCCAGTCCTGGTCTCCTCACGGTTGTTCTCGCGCTGGGCGGCTCCTCTGCAGCGGAAACGGGGCCAAACCTGCAGGGTGGGATGGCGACAGCGGGCTTTCTGGAAGGCGCAGGGCGACGGGTAAAACGTCCCGTCGGAGGCACAGACGGGGCGGCCGGGCTCGTGGGGGCACTCGGCCGGGCACGGCACCTGCTCCTGGTCACCCTCCGAGATGAGGAACTGCAAAAAGGGAAGAGGGGCATTCAAATACAGGTGGTCCTCGTCTTGCGACCACCAACGTCCGTTGTTCAGCGAGATGTTTGTTAAGTGAGTTGTCTATCCTGGGGACGGTGCAGACCCCAGGCAGATCTTCAGCTTTCCTCTCCCCCTAGACCAATGTTGTCAAACTTGGCCACGTGAAGACGGGGGAGGACTTCGACTCCCAGAATTCCCCAGCCAGCCAAGCTGGCTGGGGAATTCTGGGAGTCGAAGTCCTCCCCCATCTTCACGGGGCCAAGTTTGAGAAACAGCGCTTGATTCTACAAAGGGCTCTTAGAAAGCTGCCCTCATCAAGCAGACATGATGTCACCCGTCACCTTGACAGGTGGCTCCCGTCTTCTGACAGCGCTTCCTGTGCTGCGTAGACACAGACCCCCCCCCCAAGAGTCTCCCACATCTCGGCTGCCCTTGCTTGCAGGAGGGGGGGGCACTGCTTCTGTGAAGGGTCTTTCAAGAGGACGGTCCTTTTCGGCCCCCACCCCTAGCCTCTAAATCATCCCCAAGGGAAATCGGGGTTATACAGCAATAAATTATTTGCATATTCAGACCAGGAAAAACAGAGGACTCTTCTAGAGAGTGGAGGGGTGGGTGGTGAGCCCATCACCAGGTGACAGTGAGTTCTAGTCTCATCTGAGGCATGAAAGCCGGCTAGGTGACTTTGGGCCAATCGCCAGGAGACGGTGAGTTTCCCAGATGGCGTTCATGCCTAGGGCAGGACTAGAACTCACCGTCTCCTGGTGATTGGCTCAAAATCACCCACCTGGTTTTCACGCCTAAGGCGGGACTAGAACTCACCGTCTCCTGGTGATTGGCCCAAACTCACCACCTGGTTTTCATGCCTAAGCAGGACTAGAACTCACCGTCTCCTGGTGATTGGCATAAACTCACCCACCTGGTTTTCACGCCTAAGGCGGGACTAGAACTCACCGTCTCCTGGTGATTGGCCCAAACTCACCCACCTGGTTTTCATGCCTAAGGCGGGACTAGAACTCGTCTCCTGGTGATTGGCCCAAAGTCACCCAGTCAGCTTCCATGCCTAAGATAGGACTAGAACTCCCCATCTCCTGGTGATTGGCCCAAAGTCACCCACCTGGTTTTCATCTCTAAGGCGGAACTAGAACACACCGTCTCCTGGTGACTGACTCAAAGCCATCCAGTCAAATTCCATACCAAAGGCAGGACTAGAACTCTCCATCTCCTGGTGCATTGGTCCAAAGTCACCCAGCCATCTTTCATGCCTAAGGCGGAACTAGAATTCCCAGCCTCCTGGTGCATTGGCCCAAAGTCACCCAGTCAGCTTGCCCTAATAGAAACTCAGCATTCATCGTGCTTATTGCAGCTTCTCAGGGATGTCCTCGTGGGTGGTCAAAAAAGTCACCCTGGGTGGATCAAAGCTCTACCTGAGGCAGGAGGGAAAGGCACGCATGCTGATCCCTACAAGTGATTGTAAGCAGTTTGCAAGGAGGGGACCTCAAGACTTCAAGTCAGCTCCCGGTGCGGGTTCCCCCCCCCCTTTTTGCTCCAGGACTGAAAGAAGATCGCCCTATTTTACGTGTCCCTTTTTTTCCCCACTGCAAAGTAGTGTCACTCCTTAACGTTGACAAACACACCCGTGGACCTCCTCCTCCTACTCCAACACGGCCCGCTTGGGGAGGCCTACTCCCAGCTCAGCTGCCTCCCAACCCAAATATTAGTGCACATCACTAAAAGGCTGTCAAGGATGGGGATATTTGTTGATTTTGCCGCCGACAATTTAGCGAATCATTTAGCCAAGAGGGTGCTAGTTGTTTTGGTGGGAGACGCACTTGGAAAATGTCGTGGCTCGTAAAACGGTTCCAAATATAACACAGGCCGGTTTGGGGGGAGCAGGGGGGGGGGCTGGATGCTCCTGTGCGCACGTCGGCCGGGTCTGGATACGGAAAAGGCTGCCGTTCTTTGCGATTGGACTTTGGTGGACGCTGGAGTGGAGCCCACCCCAAAAGTACGGGGGCCTAACATCTCAAAGTCTCCCCATATGAAAAACAGGGGGGGGGGCTTTGCTTCCCAGACAAAGCCAGAAGCATTTGACACAGAGAGGTGGCACCTGAAATAAACTCACCACTATGAAAAGCAGTCCTCGGTTTACAACCAGTTTACAAGCCTGATTCGCTTAAGGCTTGCACGATCCACTTAACTGCACTGATTCGCTTACTAACCATGGGGGGGGGGAGGAAACCCCTCATAAAACTGCCTTGCTTAGCCATGCACACACACACACACACACACACGTTTCAGCCGTAAGTCAAGGACCTACCCGTAGTAGCATTACAAAAATTAAAAATACAAACCGCCTCGCTTATCTGGTTTTAGTGGGACAAGAGTTTTTCCCCCTTTTTTTAAAAATTTTATTGCATTTATTGGTTTATTTATCCAATTTATTTGCTGCCCATTTTGTGGTTCGGGCTGCTCTTGATTTTTATTTTTATTTTTTAACCAAAACCCCCAAAACTTGGCAAAAATGTCCCCTGTGGCTTAGGATGGAGCGGTGCAGCGGTGAGGGTGAAGCGCTTGGTTTGAAATCTGGATTTACGGGGGGGACTCTGAACCTCTGAACCAACAGGCCGGGGTAGCGGGTGCGAATAACCCAGCGGGCCTTGATGCCAAAGGTGGAATGCCAGGGGTGGTGTCTGTGTGTTTGCATGTTTGGGAGAAAAAAAAAATCTGCATCTGTTCCACGCGTCTCCGGGGCTCTCAGCAAAGAGGCAGCTGCCATCTGACCACTTGGGTCTTGATTGACTAGCCAGCCGTAGGCATAGCCTGCCTCTTTGTGTCTTGTCTCGGTGCGTGAGTGTGTGTCTGTGTATGTGGTGAGCAACCCAAGCAGCTTATCTTGGCTCCTTGCACGCTGCCCGTAACCGCAGGAGCTGCGGCCAGGAAAATGTGAGTGCTGCGTCAACAGAGTTTGATAGGCAGGCCTGCCTGGTACAACTCTTCGCTCTGTCTCCTCCGTCAGCATCCAAGAAGCTGGGGGCTGCTCCGGGGAGCCCTGCTTTAGGGGCAGGATCTGGGGACCTGGAAAGAGTCGAAAAAGCAGGGAGGGGATGGAGAAGACTTTTTGGGGGGGGCAGGGAAGGTCTGAACCCATGCTCCTCAACCTGGTCGACTTTAAGATGGGTGGATCTCAGCTCCCAGAATTCCCCAGCCAGCATGCTTTAAGATGGGTGGACTTCCTATCCCAGAATTCCCCAGCTGCCATGCTTAAAAATGAGTGGGCTTCCCCTCCCAGAATTCCCTAGCTAGCATTTCTTAAAGATCGGGACCTGGAAAGAGTCGAAAAAGCAGGGAGGGGATGGAGAAGACTTTTTTGGGGGGGGCAGGGAAGCTCTGAACCCATGCTCCTCAACTTGGTCAACTTTAAGATGGGTGGACCTCAGCTCCCAGAATCCCCCAGTCAGCATTGCTGGCTGGGGAATTCTGGGAGTTGAAGTCCACAGGCCTTAAAGCGGCCAAGGTTGGACCCCCCCATCCACTGCCCTGCGGGGAGAAAGAATTATCTCCCTGCAGCCAGAAACCCAGCGAATCCACGAGAAATGAGGGGTTTTTTTGACAATGTTTTCACGACAATCTACAAGCCCCTCTCCAATTCCACGCAGGAGTCTCTTGAGTTGGTACAGGCCCCAATAAGAAGTGGGTTGAGGGAAGGGTAATGGCTTGTTTGGCCGATTATGTGCTTTGCACGCAAATAAATAAACATTTTTTTAAAAAAAATAAATACCGCAATCGCTCCCCGGGGAACGGCTGGCCAAAACCTCTGGCCAGGAATCTACCAAGCTCAGCTCCTCCACATCAATCAAGGTGCTTCTAAATGGACCTTTTGTTTGTCTAAAGTAGCTTTCCACCTTCCTAAAAAGGCACCACTTCATCGGATCAATGCATTTAAAAAAATTAAAAAAATAAAAACCCAAATGCAAGAGCCAAATTCCCCCGCGCTTGCATTTCGCAGCCTGTTTTTTGAAGCCCACCACCGAGAGAGAGAGAGACGTGCCCCGTGGGGGATTCCAGAAAACCCAACCGGTGGGGTTGTCTAGCTTGTCCGAAGCGTGTCTTCTCCCGCTGAGACGTCAGGGACCGAACAGACGTGCCCTGAAGCCCAGCCAGGATCAACAACCCGGAGCCCAACGCCTGGACAGGTGTGTGTGCTACTGGTTGCAGACGTGCCAGATGCCGTCTGCCAACGCAACTTGGTCAAGCAGGCCACTCCAAGCGACAAGACATGCTGCAACGGTTGTAAACAACGCCGGCCTTCAATCCTGGGGGGGGGGAAGGGGGGGCTCTGGGTTGGGGACCAGGAATAAATATTGGAAACTGGCTTTTTTCTGGCTGGGAGAGGCCAGAAATGGAGACAGGGGTGGCCACTTCCAAGGGAGACCTGCAAGGTTTTCAAGACACGCTTCGAGATTAAATCGTAGGCTGGGAGACCCTGGTGCTCCCCTATGAAGTAAGTTTGAGGATTCCTTGTAACACAAAACAAGAGATTTATCGTTGCAAACCAGGATCACTCCAGGAGGAGACACTTGGGTTTTTAGAGTGCAGGCAGTCCTCGACTTACAACGGTTCGTTTAACGACCGTTCCAAGTTACAACGGCACTGAACAAAAGGGACGTAGGACCATTTTCACACTTGCCACAATTGCAGCGTCCCTAGGATCATGCGATCAAAATCCAGACCCTTGGCAACTGGCAAGTGTTTATGACGGTTGCGGCGTCCCGGGGTCACGTGATTCCCCCTTTTACGACCTTCCGACAGGCAAAGCCAATGGGGGAAGCCAGATTCACTTAACAACCGGGTTACTGACTTACCAGCTGCAGTGATTCGCTTAAGGACCGTGGCGAGAAAGGTGGGTCAAATGGGGCAAAACCCGCTTAAGGGATGTCTCGCTTGCAGCATACATTTTGGGGCTGGACTGTGGTCGTAAGGTGAGGACTGCCTGCACAGAATGCTGGGGCCCCTCCCTGGAAGAAATCAAGGCTGTGGGAATGACCCTCCTTTTCTGCCAGCAGTTTGAGAGACAGGTAGCTGGGCCCGGATCTCTCCCTCGCCGCGGCTTTTGCCTCTGGGCTTCGGAGTGGCCGGGCGCTGGCGGTTTCGATGGGCCGTGGGCTGCCCTGCCAGAGCGCACACACACGGCTCTTTCAGCCGTCAGCTGGCAGCATTTGCATGCGCCTCCAGCAAAGATGGCAGAGGAATTTTGCTGAGACTCTCTTCCCTTGCCAGATTCAAAGATCTGTTGTAGGGCAGCTGCCCTCCAAGCTCTCGCCACCCCCACCCCCAGACGACAAACGGCCTTGGTTAGCAAGGGCTGCCGAGTGGCTTATGAAGGGGGCCTTATTTGACAGGGGGGAGGCAAGGAGGGGGGCTAAGAGAGGAGGAGGAGGAGGAGGAGGAGGAGGAGGAAGAGGAGTCCTTGGTGCTCTCTGAGCTTGGTGGTTTTCTTGCAGACGTTTCACTACCAAACTAGGTAACATCATCAGTGCTAGAAGGGAGGAGGAGGAGGAGGAGGAGGAGGAGGAGAAGGAGATCTGTAGGGTCCTTCGTGCTCTCTGAACTTTATGGTTTTCTTGCAGACGTTTCATGACCCATACTAGGTAACATCATCAGTGCTAGAAGGGAGGAGGAGGAGGAGGAGGAGGAGGAGGAGGAGCAGGAGGAGATCTGTAGGGTCCTTGGTGCTCTCTTGAGCTTGGTGGTTTTCTTGCAGACATTTCACTACCAAACTAGGTAACATCATCAGTGCTAGAAGGGAGAGGGGTTTGTGGAGAGGAGGAGTAGTAGTCCTTGGTGATTTTCTTGCAGACATTTCATAACCCAGCTAGGTAACCTTATCCGTTCTAGAAGGGAGTGTGGTTTGCAGAGAGGAGGAGGAGGAGGAGGAGGAGGCAACTGCAGCCTTCAGGATGGTAGGTGTCTGCTCTGCTCTTCTAGTTTTATTATATATAAATATAAAACTTCTGGTTTAGTTCAATGAAATTCAGACTCAGACCTGTTGCCCCTGAGATATAAAAAAAAATCAGCTCAAGATGGAGAGAGACAGTCTTCTTCTGCCTGCTCCATCGGCCACATCTAGGAGAAGAGCCACGGGTGACGGTTGCCCGGTTGGGTTTCTACCTAGTGTTAAGGGCCCACAGAAGCGATGACCTCACTCCGAACAGCCTTGGCCTCCCAAGAGCAGGTTAAAATTAGCTCCCGCGAGTGACTTGTTCGGAACTAAATTTGGATTTCAGTCCTTCCCAGTTTGGCAGTGCACTTTGTGTCTCGGGATATGTGAAAGCCTGACCCGTTGCCGGATGGAAAGGACCATCCAACACAAGCCCATCGCTCTTGAGAAAGGGACTACAGGGCCATGTTCCCGCTGGGGGCAAGGAACAGCCCCAAGAAATCCAGGCAACATTGCATTATGAGGTTTTCTCCTGCCAACCCATTCCCAGAATCATGCAAGTAGCCCAAACATTCAGAGTAATCAGCCAAAAATAGATTAACTCATCTCCTGGGATTGGTTTTTTTTTTTTTCAGATAAGACTTAGGGTTTTTTGAGGGGAAAAATAATAAAATAAACCCTTTCAAATCTACCAGGTTCCCCTTTAGCTTCTTCTAGCATCAGAGATCTAAAAGCTGGGGGGGGGGATTTTAAAAATAAAAAACAGATCTCAAAAAGGGAAGCATTTTGTCCACGTGGCACTTCACAAACAGGCAAAGCTTGATGGGACTTTTGTGGCTGCCATCTTGACTTTTTTGACCCTGGTTGGTCACTATTTTGCCCTGGGCTCTTCACATCTGGAGGGCTGACCACTTGCATCGCCATAGGCAACTGACAAGAGCATGGGATTCTTCTGGGACATCTACATACCGGCAGTCCTCGCCTTGTGACCACGATGGAACAAAATGTCCGTTGTTGAGTAAGATAGTTGTTAAGTGAGTTTTTGCCCTATTTTGCCACCTTTCTTTCCCCAGCAGTGAAGTGAAGCACTGCAGTTAAGTTAGTAATATGGTTGTTAAGTGAATCAGGAGGTCGCAAAAGGGGATCGCGTGACCCGCAGGACGCTGCGACCGTCATAAAGATAAGTCAATTGCCAAGCATCTGAATTTTGATCACGTGACCACGGGGAGGCTGCGATGGTTGTAAGTGTGAATAAAGGTCACTAAATGTAATAGTTGTAAGTCGAGGATCGCCCGTATTTAACTTTTTCTACTACAGTGTATCTTGAAGCCAAACAAGATACAACCTAGAACTAAGGGGAAACTTCCTGACAGTGAGAACAATTAACCAGTGGAACGACCTGCCTCCAGAAGTGGTGAATGCTCCAACACTGGAAGTTTTTAAGAAGAGACGGGACAGCCTTTTGTCCGAAATGGTATAGGGTTTCCTGCCTGAGCAGGGGGTTGGACTAGATGACCTCCAAGGTCCCTTCCAGCATTATTATTATTATTATTATTATTATTACTATTATTATAAATGAGCAAAACTCTTTCCCAGCCAAAAAAGGAATTGGGGAGTAAGCACATTGACAGACAACTGCAAGTACATTCCTGAATTATTTCTTGAGCAGTTTTCACGAGCAAGAAAGACTCAGGGGAAGTTCTTTGCCCAAAGAAAGAGTTTATAATATGTAATTCAAAAGGGTAACCAAGAACGGAGACCGGCAA